GTCCCATATCTCAAAAATAAACTCACCAGCTTATTTCATAACAAAATTAGGAATGAAAAGAAATTCTATATATATATATATATATATATATATAAATGAACGAACGTATCCATCCGGGGCTGTGATTTTATATTCGCACCACAATCCATGTGGATACACAGGATCATCATCATAAAAAGGACTTTTGATTTCTCCTAATGTTGTGGCATCGTATTCGTACACCTGAGGGCACTGGAACTGCCTATCTTGAGCAAAAACTAAAAAGAAAAATACCATTTATTTCAACATAAAACAAATGGTAATCATTTCGTATAATTTAAGAGCATTTTTCAAAAATATATTTAGTGTAAAAATGATAAACAAATAACTTCGTAAGATAATTTCGATATTAAAACGCACAACCTATATTGATGTTATTTTAATACAGGATTGTGAAATTGTTATTAGAGAAATTTTACTCCCAGAATTAGAGAAGCCATTTTCGTTTTGGATCCATCATTAAAAATTGTTGGAAAAACTCAGTCCCATTAAAGTTGAAAATGTATAACAAGTATATATAAATAAACATATAAATAAGTGCTAAATACGATTCAAAACTCATATAATTTCTGTTTCTTTATTTATTATTTGCTAAATCACGATGATTTTTAAGGCTTCTCGTACAAACAATGTCATGTATGGACATGGTTTTTTTAAGAACAACTTCATAAAGTCGGTAACGACATTTAGGGTAATTTATATTCATTAAACTTTTCTGACACTTAAATTTTGTTCTCCCGCCCGATAAGAGATAGTCTCTGGATAAATAGTTGGTTAATAAAGTAAGACAGATTACAAATATAAAACAAATATGGTACTATTCGTATTGAGTTTTGCGAAAACTTATAGTGTGTTAAAATGAATTTAAAAATTTGATCTCGCAAAGAAAATAAAGGTACAGAAGTGCATAACAAGCGTTAGCGTACAAATCATCGAACTTTAATCTAATTTTATAAGACTTCATATTTTACACCTTTCTTGAATTGAAATATCTGATACTGATCACCAAATATTCATTTTTAATGGGATTATTGGTAATCAAATTTTTCTTTAATGCTCACTTTTGTAACACTTTTCTCAATTATCGAATTTTTGCACGAAGTCCATTTTTTCTCTTGTTTTCTGAAGTTAGAATATGAAATCTCTAAAGCAGCAGTTTAGTAAATTTAAGTAAATTAACTTTAAACATACATGCTAATCTTTTTTTTGTGTGTGGAAAAGATTGCTACTTGTTTTTATTCCTTTCCCGCAATCATCCATCTGAGGAAATCTATAAATCTTCACATTTCCCTCAAACTTTTATTATCGTTTTGAATTCTGCCAGAAGACCGAGTTTTTAAGGCTGTCGTTGCCAACTGCACTCAAAATAATTCAAAAATCTCAGACTTTTGATCCGAGACTTTTCCAAAGATCTCTGAATGAATTGAAAAAATAAATCGATTTTGCATAGTTAAATAAGAGTAAAATTGAAAATTTCAGTGCTTCAAAAATATCCATTAAGAAGATTTTCACCGTTACTCTAAATTAGAAGCCCGCTCTTATATATTAGTTGCATTCATGAATGGTAATTGATCAAAATAAATGAAATTTTAATTATACATTTTCTGAAAATTATTACATTTTATATTTAGATTTTCACGTATATATTTTGTGAAAAATCTATAAAACATAGAAATAGATAGATCTTAGAAGTAAATTTGACTATTAAATCTGTTTTAATCATTAGTAAACATGTAAAAATAGCTATACTGTAGTAAATAATAAATTGAGAAAGAACATAAGTTCCTGCATAAAAATTAAAATCTTTACTCTTATGTAGTAGAATTTGTTTTTCATTTTTTTTTTTTTTTTTTAGATGTTTTTTTTTCTTTTTTCTTTTTTTTTTCTTTGTATGGAGAACGCAATACACAAATATTAAAGAAATACATTCTCACTTACCGAGATCATTGGTTAGAAACAAGGTAGAAATCAAAACTCCGATAACAATCATCTTTAAGAAAATTGTAATGCATAAATGATAATGTTCAAGTTTCTAATCACAAAAACAGGTGAAAAATTTCTCACGCTATCAAAGTTGCCGATTGCAGTGAACATGAATAACGTATTATGGAATGAGCTTATAATATGTAACACATTTAACTCGCATAGATTTATAACTCAGTCTAGTCTAGAGACAGCGAATATTGAATTTAGAAAAACTTGAGTTCTTAAATATTTTCTCTTTCAATAATAGCCACTTTTCTTTTCTTTTTGTCAGTGTATTTTATACTGCATCCCTTTCTTTAATTTTTTTTTGTGTTTTATTATTAATTCGTTTTTATTATTAATTCTTCTTTCTTTCCTTTTGTACCGAAATGCTCAATAAAAAGCATTTTTTTCTGCCAAACAAATGTCATTTTTATCTCATATAGCCTACTACCTCTGTCGATAATGTATCAATAATTCAAACGATTCTCCAGGTACAAGATCAATCCACAACCACAGTATCCTTTAATTATTTCAAGCAGTGTAAATGATTAATAAAATTAATTGGAAATTTATCAGAAATCAACTTAGTTTTTAAATTATCAACATCCTACTTAAAGTTGGATTTATTGATACATATACGTTTAAATCTGTGCAAAATTTGTCGATGAAAGACTCAAGGACGTAGGTAAGGGAGGAGTTTAGGGGGTTCAAACACCCCCCATTGTAAATGGCAATTTTTGATACTTTCTCAAATTACTCATTTTTTTAAAAAAAAATTTCGAAAAAATTTTTTTGCTTCCTTCAAAGTTTTTATTAGGTTTCACCACCTTAAAATTCATTTTAAAACAAGGCGAAAGCAATGCACCTATCCTTGTCACTCCCTTACAAAGATTTTTTTTTATTTCCAATGAGCTGCGCAATCGGTCTTGCCGATGAGCAGACCTAATGCGTTCTCCAGAGTTGGTATCCACTCTTTCAGGACCACCACAATGGGTGAGATACCGTTGGTCATGTTAATTTGGACGTCTAGTTTCTGCCACACTAGATGGCAGCACCGAGACTCTATTCCCTTACAAAGATAGCCGATTCCTTTTTACTACGGGAAAATGTCCACAGCTTTAAATGACCATGTCTTAACTATCCATATCTTGATATCTATGGGTACAGGTTGTAAGAGAAGATAACTTTTTTGCTTCAATTTGGTTATAAATGCTCCGCAGGGAATATTTTCTAGAATTTTGAGGGATCGCTTTTGGGATTGAAATAAGATGTAACCAGTGGATGGAGAAAGCATCACTTATAGGTAAGTTTAAAAAGGGGGTGACTCTCAAATCTAACTCTTTCACGACATTCAGTTAGTAAACTTTTACTAAGAAGCACTTAAATTTTCTTCAATCTATCTAGCTTATAGCAAATTTCTTTAAATATATTTATTTTAATTTAGTGGAATATTTCTTTTTTTTCTTCATACATTATTGTATTTACCTTTCATTACCATTTTATTCAACTTCCATACCAACATTTAATTAGTTGTGAAAATGATTCATTTATTTATTTTAAATTTAGTTTTTCATTCATTTCAAAACATTCTTAAATAATTTAATATGTCTAGAGGTTAGTTTATAGCTTACTACATTAAGTGGTGTATGTAAAGTAAGTCAAAAATTGAATTTTAAATGTCAATTTACTTCATAAATTAGTTCTCTCTATGGTTTTTATAATCATTACATTGTTATGTTTATTACAAAATAACTATTATTGAAAAAAGGTATTTAAATTTCACGAAAGCAGTAACTCTATACATATGATTAAAAAAATGAAACAAATTTGTTTTCGATTAACAAAGTAATATATATACTACAACAATTATACAAAGTTGCAGGTCAACAACTGAAAATCTGCTCCGATTTTCATACTTTTACATAATAAATATGAAATTAAAACATTTGAGCAATTTAAAAAAGTGAAAATGAAGTTGATAAATAAAATGAAATAAGTTATTTTAAAGTCAGTATTATGGTCATTGAAATTGCGTTGTAATGAAATTTAACATTAGGAAAAAGTTTAAAAGTAGAGTATTTTTTCTTATATAAATGCGGACCTACAAGCTTTTAAATTTAAACTTGAATATGGGATTTTGATTTGAAGATTGAGTGTAAGAAAAATATTTAATTAGTCGTAATTGATTCTTTTAAATTTTATTTCTAATACGATAGTCATATTAAGAAAAATAGACGAAAAGAAGAAAAAAGATACAAAGATAAAAAATTAAAAAACAGAGTTCAAAATAAGCACCTTTCAAAAAACAACTATTTTTAATTTATAATAAAAACTTTTTTTTAATGGCGAGCACTTGGAACTATTGACCATTGGTCACAGAAAGTGCCAGAACTGCTAAATCTCTTTTCGTTACCCAGTCGGCACCTGTGGCGAAGCCACGGCGGTGGAGCAGCGTCGCCCACGTCACACTACCACAACCCGTTTATAGGGCGGGTCACATTCACACACAAAGGAGAAAGGACATAGAACACAGATAGAGAGAAAGAAACATCCATGCCTTGCCCGGGATTCGAACCCAGAACCTTTCTGATGCAAGGACAGTTCCCTGCCCCCTACACAGGCCGGTCGGCATATTAAAAACTCAGAACTGAAAAAAAAAATTTTTTAAAAAATCTAATTTTTCAAATTTCAAAACAATTATTCTTCAGCATTACTCTTTCTGAAACTTATGTTTTTGGGACGAATTAAATCTTTAATTATAAAAAAGAGAGGGAGAAATATCCAGATCTGAAACCCACAATATATTCATTCTCTTAAAAATTCTCGTAAAATTTTCATAATCTGATATCTAGATCACAAAAATCACGCTTTGTCTAAATGTAAAGATTATCACTAGAAATAAAAATGTCCATACTGCTCTAAACGCAACTTTAATTACGTACTCGAAGAAAAGCAATCAAAAGGAGTTAAAAACTAAGTACTGTGTTAAAATAATAGAGAAATCAAGCACACAAAAAATGGCTGATGTTACTCGGGTTCGTAAGGCACGTATCTATCTTAGAAAAGTAAACCCTACGACGGACAAAACTAACATTGCAAAGGACTACTTCTACTGCAGACTACTACAAAAGACTACTTGCAAAAGACTACTTTGCAAAAAACTACTTCAATAGATGGCGTTTGACATCATAAAAAAGTTCTTTTTGCAAAGTAACTTTAAACAGTCATCTTATCTAAAATTGTGCTTGAGCATTTTTATAAAATCGAAAGTATTTATTAAGATTAAGGAAATTGCAAATAGTTTAGGCGGAAACTTTTCCGTGATTCATCAAAAAATGCTCAGTGAATTTAGTATTGTTAAAAATGGATTGATCCCAATAATATCCTGGAGGAGGGAGGCAAATTATTGTTAAAAAGAAATCGCCATTGAATTGGCACAAAATAAGCACAATTTTTTTTGAGAGGGGGGAGGAATAATGCATAAAATAAAGCTTATGCTTAATTCGTGTCGAAATATTTAATGCTAAAAACATCGTTCCAACTCAATATTAAGTTTTTTACGGAAAGGATTCAGCTTTTATTAAAAAAAAGTGGGTGTTGCTGTTATAAAATTTCGAAATTTTGTCGCTATAACTGTTGCTGTGAGAACTGCACAATCGTTTATTGCATCATTCTTTAACATAAATACAATACACGATTCACAATTTTAATCAAAATCGAAAGTATTTATTAAAATTAAAGAAACTGCAAATAGCTCAGACCGAAACTTTTCCATGATTCATCCGAAAACTCTCAGTGAATTTAGTATTGCTAGAAATGGATTGATTCCAATAATATCCTAGGGGAGGGAGGCGAATAATTGTTAAAAAGAAATCGCCATTGAATTGGCGCAAAATAAGCACAATTTTTTTTTTGAGAGGGGGTAGGAATAATGCATAAAATAAAGCTTATGCTTAATTTGTGTCGAAAAATTTAAAAAGCTAAACTTTTTGATAGTGAAATCCTTTAAGAAGGCATCCAAGGGATGATTAGAACACACACTGTCTTCTATTGCCAATTCAGTTCAATTACAGAAAACTAATAAAAGCCTCTTTGCTTTATTAAAGTTAAATTTTAAAACTAAAGTTGCTTTTAAATGCGATTTTATTCGCTATTGATTGAATCAAAAATCGACACCAACGTTCATACTACTTATTCTCTGGGTGCCATATTGAATTTTCCCTGTCCTGCATTGTATTGGACATTTGTCATTGATTTTTTTAATTTCCAGAAGTCTAAAGTTTGATTATCCTTAGCCCCATTTTTCATTTAAGCATTTTAAACAAACAATTGAGGCATTTTTTCACGCAAAATTGAATATTACAAATCCCGAGGCGATGGATGAGACGAATAGTTTAGAAATTATAAGAGGTTGATGTGCAAAAAGTACAAATTCGTAAGTGTACCTAATTATGCATCTGTTATTGCTAACTAAATAAGTGGGGCATTGTTTCCGTTATATTGTTTTAAGCTGGATCGAGAATGAAACTATACACGAATCAATAGGACGAATAGTTTAAGAGAGCTTATTTGTACTTCACACTTTTTACTATGCTATCTAGGGAATATCGGAACATGTAAGGTACGTTTTCCGAGGAAATTTTTTTATAAAATGAATTTTGTACAGAATTCGAATTGATAAATAGTTTTGAAATTACAAGATTTTCTGCATAATAAGTGCCAATTAAAGGTAATACGTTTTGTATATATAAGAAAAATCATTTCAATTTCTGAAATATATGCCTTTTTGATTCGTTTTTGGTCTTATCCAATTTGACAAAGAATAAGTACATAAGAAACAACATCTCACTTGTCTATATAGCAATGTCAGATATGAAGCGAGTACAAAATTGTAATTTTTGTGCATAAATCTGTTAAAACTTTTAAACTATTAGTCCAATCGTCTTGGGATTGGTTTCATACATTTTAGCGTGATAAATAACATCACAAAATTTACATTACGTGTTCAGATAGTTCCTGGATATCAATTTTAATTGTACGTATATGTCGTGTTAAAAGAAGTACTGTTTATTCTTAAAAACTCTTGCACCTTTTGAACTACTTGCTCTATTAACCTGCGTATAGTTTCAT